CCCCCCAGTCTCCCGACAGACGTGTCCAGCCTCCGCTGTGTCTGGTGTAGCAAGGACGGGTGGAGGAGACACTGTGACCGCCAGTCTATCGCCGCTTGCTCCAGACACTGGATCAGGAAAAACGCGCTCTCGTAGCGGTCCACGTTGGGCGGTTGTGACGATTGGAGTGACGTGGCGAGATGTGTGCAGGCAGACTCCAAGGCTTCCACGAGGGACTCGACCACCACGGCGCACAGAGAGGGAGGCGAGCTCTTCAGGTACTCCACCAGCATCGCGGAGAAGGCGTGCTTCCTCCTGTGGGCCTGGAATGTACATTACCTGTTATTACCTGTCCTGGGCAACAACGTCATTGCACACCGGACTGGTCCATAAGTGCTGAAAATGTACATTAGTCAACAAAGGAAATTACATCTACTGTTTCCTTTTCGTGACCTCAGTGCTTTCTCGTCGTATCTCCATATTTAATAACAGTGAAAACAGTTCATAACAAAGAGTGAGTTTAAGAAGAAGTCACATTTTCACTGTTAAAAAAGAATGGAGATACGATAAGAAAGCACTGAGGTCACGATTTGAACTTCTCTGTTGACATCCACCCCTTGGCGCTCAGATGACCGTTTGCAGCAGTTGCGAGCGCCGTAAAACCTCTACTACTAAAACTAAACTAGAAAAAAAAACAGCTTTTGGTCACACCTGACGCTTCTAAATTGTTTATTTATCTTTTAAAAATGGAAGAGAATATCTGTTTGACACAGTAACAGCCGGAACCCCCCCCCCCCCCCCCAACAAATCATGCAGACAGAAACAACAGAGAGAAAGAAAATAAATAGGACCTATCAGAGGCGCCCTCAAACGAAATATGCAAGTAATAAATAGAAACACCAAAGGGAAGGACTTCCGTTACGAGCGACCACGCCAACAAACACAATAAAGAAGACACCTAGATATATCACTAGCCCTAACCCAAACCCTACCCCTAGATCGACCCTTACCCTTAGCCCTCTATTCTACTCTGTCTCATAGTGGTCGGTCGTTACGGAAGTCCTCCCCACCAAAGACTAACCGGGTACTGCCCATAATCCGACGGTTCTGTGAGTTTCTTCAGGACCCCCTCCACGACAGCACAGACCTCCTTCATGAACGGCTCGTGTCTGTCAAGCCACGGGTAGGCGCTCATCACGTGACACACAGCCACGGCCGACTGGCGGAGAGTGGAGTCCGGCACAGACAACATCTCACACGCCATCACCTGAGCCTGGGTCATCATACTGGACACTGCCTCACGCACGACTGTGGCCTGGTTGGGCTGGAGAGACACACAGTAATATATCGCGTTTGACTAAGACTACTATGCACATTATTTCCAACATTACATCATCATCATCGTTACCATAAATAATCATAATCATGATCACCATCACTATTACCATCATCACACAATTCCCCTTTTTCTTGTTTCGTTTTTCTAAAAAATATAACAATTTGCACCAAGTCAATACATTTTTTGTAACCTACAAATATCGGCACCAAAATCAGGACACGGGACAAAAAAAAAAAGAAGATCGCATTTGATTTCAACGCAAATCCTCGCTCAACAGCAAGCTGTATGCGCTTCCCAATCTATACTATACTCTATTTACCCCAGCAGACCTGAGGGCATTCTGAAACAACCGAAACGTTCTGGGAAGCATTTATAAGCGCTAAAACACTAACATACTGACAAGAGGCGCTATAAGGACAGAAATCAGAGTCAGAGATATTTCAAATTCAGGAGAGACATGTAGAAATAGTGCTAATCCTGGTATAGATCTACATTTCCACAGATTATTTTGATAAATAATAATAATAATAATTGCATTTATATAGTGCATATCCATGCTCAATAGCATGCTCTATGCGCTTTACAACTATTATTACCCCCAGCAGACCCTCTGAGAACACTCAGAAACATACTCGGCTTCCGCAGAAGCATACAGTGCAAGCTGCGGATTTCACGCGCTCAACTCAAACACTATCAAACTGACAAGATCGTTCACTGTCTATGGCCGGGTACCCATTTCCACCTGGGTGAAGTGAGGAAAATTTGTGCAAAGTGCCTTTCCCAAGGACACAACGTCGGGCCCCTGACGGGATTCTAACCCACAACCTAACGGTTGCGAGTCCGAGAGCTTAACCACTAAGCCACCGACGCCATAAAAAGAACATGCAAGGAGTGTGATCTTGGTTAAAAACGCCCATGGATCTAGAGCTTTCGTATTTCAAAGAGGGAGGGTAGTACATGTGCTGCCTAAGCAACGCCGTGATAAACAGCGTAGAAATTGATATAACAGGGGTGCAGTCCAAGTATAGAGATAGAACATGAAGAAAAAGTCTTACAATAAAGGGACCATCAACTGAGCATGCAAAACGTTTGAACGATAAGGTGAAAAGAAAACATTTATATCTTTATAATACAGTCAAGCATGCACATACTAGCCAAATATCTGCAAGCTGTAATAATCTTGTTATGCTTGCATTTCACTAATTTCAGGCTGTATCAAGGGAGATACCTAAGGTGAGACAATTGGGTCAAAAGTTTACCTGAATTATGCCCCTTCTACATGTTCCACCGTATCAAACTTAATTGCTCTACAATTTACAACGCCTTTTCCTCTCTGGCGTAGCATTATTCTGAATTTTTCCGCAGTCCTTTATGAAAGTTGATAAAGTTGAGAGCAGAATCCCAAACGTTTAGTACATTTGAGTTTCTGATTGATTTTTTTCCCCCATGCTTGGATCAGGCATTTTTCCTCGACCGAGAAGCATTTCCCCTATTTTTGCTTAGCCAAGGTTCAATCTCTACACCTTCACCAGGGTCTAACTTTGTTTAGTACTGGCAAATTCCTGGGTAGTGTGTGATCTTTGATGAAAAGGAAGCGCGCTGACCCTTGTGGCGACAATACTGGATACAATGAACCGGCATTCACACGATCGCTGACTCCGGACACACAATAATCTAATGTGTGAAAGCAAGATCTACCGCTGAAGACTTCTGTGACATAGGTCATAAATATGTCCTTTTCCTACACTTTTACCCTCAGCTTATTGAGAGATCATTGGCCTCCACTCATACTGTACCTACTCCCCCTCTCTCTTTCTCTGTCTCACATCACGGCAACTTTTGGTAAACGAAATATGGCATCATGTTCAATTGGAGCTACCCTCGCTGATGCAAATTGTTTTTTGCTACTGAAAATGAATTGCTTACATTATGTGCATTTACATGCATTTTTCACTCTGTGTGCTAGACCACAACCCCCCCCCCCCCCAGAAATACTCAATTTTAAAATATTTAACTACCAATGAAATTAATTTTTCAGACAAGCCAAACAAGTCGGAAGAGCCTAAAGCTTGGTAAATTAGCATACGTTTTTTCTTAACATGGATAACTTATCAGTAGTATTAAAAACGTTTTAAAAATGACTTGTTTCTTCAATAAAGAGTGATTCATTCTTCTCAACTATGGGGACATAGTTGGCCAGAACAGTACCGGCAAGATATTGATGCTAATATTAATTACTAGCAAGTGCATTTTCAGATTGGCAATACATTTATTCTAAACAACTCGGGTCTTGAGTAATTTTTCACAGGATATATCTAATCTTATCATGTATATCTTCTAAGTGTGAACCCATCAGTGTCCAACTGTCCAACGTTTGAAGTAAACTTACATACCTGCTGTCATTTCTTTTAAAAAGGGAAGGAAGAGAAAAAAAGAAAACTGAAAATAACTAAAAATGAAACAATATTATTTTAGATTATCTTTTCCCTTACTTGATCGTCCGTGGGATAGAGAAGTCGCTGTAGGTTGAAAACGCTCTGAATATACTTTGTGTTCTCTGAGGTCATCGTTTGAATGCTCGGGCTGTTGTCTGTTCCAAAATGTGGAAGCTGGAAAAAACCCAGAGTTGGCCAATAGATACAAGACTAGTTAAGTTTTTAATAAGAGTTGTACACTACAATTAGGTCATATTAGTGCCGAAGATTAAAGGTTGCACACAGCAATGTGTTTTTAATGGACATAAAAGGCGCTGAGCTAAAAAATATTTCAAACATAGATAAAAATGGCAAAACGGGAAGAATAATTCAATTTTCTTTGATTTCACTATGTTGACAAGTGCTTGATTTCACCACAATACCTCACATATCATGTACATACCCCTGTTGTAGTTACAGACTGTCTGAGAGGACATGATGCAATCAGGCGCGGTTCGTCCATAGAGCACGGTCGTGCAGTGCCGCCCAAATTTTTTTAATGCTCTATTACGAAAAGCACCCACTAACATGAAATAAAACAAGTCAGAAATAAACACTAGTCAAATATAATATCAAAACAAGGTCCTCGCTGGAGCTGTAACTGTCATCTCTGTGTCAAAAGCGCCCTAAAACATATACTATGCGTTTTAACTAAACGTAATAGAATATTAAACAGTGGCTATCTGACCTATAAATCGCTCTTTGGGATAACCCAAGCGATGACGACACTCGTAGCGAGTTTGGCGGTACATTAATATTAATAAGACGGCATATCTCAAATGTGCACCCATGAAACATAGCCCACAGCAGGAAGTCTAAAAATAAACGCGATAGCCTGTACACTATTCAATGTCAAAATTATGTGATCCCCGGAGCAATCCAGCGGAGTGCTCAAGTGAACTGTGATTGGTTCACTGTCTTGCTGCTACTTTAACTTAAGCGACTCTGTGACCGTGAACCTGAGGGAGGTGAACGTGACATATTTAACTTAATCCACCGTCCAATGAGTTGTGCCTTTCAATGGTTTTGTAGTGGAGTGGTGAAAGTTATTACTTGAGCGTTCAGTTCCGATGCAGGATGAACGAAATTGACATTTAACTAACAAACATATTTCGTTCTAGAAATCAAAGCGAATGAAAATAAAAGCACTAAGTCCTCCCTCACCAACCCAAAGATACTAAAATTATACACCACCCCATTTACTATGCTCTTGACTATCTTCAGCCTAAGATAGCTTAATAGTGCACGCCCACTTTTTAGCCCCACGAGCCGCCCCTGGATGCAATATGACGTGACAGTCCTACCTGACCAGCCACATACTCCACTGATGGTGGGGGAGTCAGGTCATGGTGCCTCCCGCTCAACACTGGGGAAACGAATACAATCCTCTGCTTTATATCACAACATTTTACTAAGAGCTTTTATACCACATCAAAATAGAAAAATATTCTCTCAGCAAGGAGATTTGGGTTTACGAAAAGTAAGTTAAGTGAATTTTTAAAAAAATCTGCAGTTGACTGAAAGACGAGTAGGCCTAGACCTTGTACTTTCAAAAACTCTTGGAAAATAACATCTCATAGACTGGTAAAACTTCTATTTTTAAAGTGTAAATGAGAAATTAGAATAAATCATTATTATTGTAAGTAGTTTTTTATTTAGGGCTACGCTTAGCCAGAGTTCTGAGGAAAAACCCCATAAAAACCTTGATGTAGCTGTAGAACCAGCAAGTTGTAGTATACGAATAAAAACACTGGAAAGGCAAGACAAAATAACATTCTCAAACTAAAAAGTAGGCTACATGTCATTAAAAGGTTTCTCTTAGAAGCCTGAGCTCTACCTCAGACTCATAGTGCAAACCTTGCATGGGAGAAAGATTGTGACATTTTTCTGCGGTTCCCCTGGGAACATTTTTCTCCTCTGTCAGTTGCTTCTGCAGGTGGGAAAGCTCTGCTTTTGTTTGCTGGAAATTTGTCTGCAGCGACAACTGATTGGTCCAGAACTTGGAGCATATCCTTTCAGCATGTTTCAGAGCGGAGTCCCCTGGAGGTTTGCAGCGGATTACTGCAACAGCAACAGCTATCTTCACCCACGATAGAAGATTCGCTGAAAGGCAGAAAACATTACCTTAATATAGGTAAATGTGTGCGAAAATGGATTAGATATCTAGATCCAGGGTTGGGTTGATTTAAATCAGTTGATTTTTTTTATTTAAATCAACTTGATTTTTTGGATAAAAATCAGTGATTTAAATCACTTTAAAAATTTTTTATTTTTATTCAGTTTTTACATATTTCAACATTCAAAATTCCCTTCCTTGGTTTCATAAAACAGATATAAGGTTAAGTAGACTAATATAATCATGTTTAAAAGTCTGCTTTCCCACCTTTCACTGTAAAATAATACAGTATTCAATTTACTTTTTTTTCCATAATTGAAATCAGAGCTGGGTTGATTTAAATCAGTTGATTTTTAAAATATTTCAATCAACTTGATTTTTAAAATAAAAATCAGTGATTTAAATCACTTTTTAACAAATGTATTCAGTTTTTACATATTTGAACATTCAGAATTCCTTTCCTTGGTTTTATTAAACATATAAGGTTTAGTAGACTAATATAAAGTCTGCTTTCCCCCCTGTCACTCTAAAATAATACAGTATTCAATTGACTTTTTTTTCATAATTGAAATCAGGGTTGGGTTGATTTAAATCAGGTCGATTTAAATCAGTTGATTTTTAATTTTTTTTAATCAACTTGATTTTAAAAATAAAACTCAGTGATTTAAATCACTTTTAAAAAATGTAGTCTGTTTTTACATCTTTAAATATTCAGAATTCCTTTCCTTGGTTTTATAAAACAGTATATAAGGTTTAGTAGACTAATAAAATCATGCTTAAAAGTCTGCTTTCCCCCCTGTCACTGTAAAATAATACAGCATTCAATTTACTTTTTTTTCATTATTGAAATTAACATTTTCTTTTTCTTTTTAGACAAACACAAGCGCGTGCACACACACAGACACACACACTGTAATAAAATGCAAGTTTATCTATGCATAATTACCCCCCCCCCCCCCACCCCTTCCTTTTGACTGACATTTTCTTCATTTTTTGTCTGTAGCCATACATTGCCTCACCCTTCAATCAAAACAAGGTCAAATTAAATGGAGTTAAGTAAGCCCTCCGCCTCTAGATCTAGATCTATCCATGATGCAGGCTTAGCGAGAGAGCTCTCAATTAGCCTAGATTCTAGGCCAAGTCATACATGTATAGATCTAGTGTATAGGCTACGTGTATCGGATTAAAACATGGGTGCTTCAACTTGAACTTTATGAGTTTAAGGCTCAAGCCTCTTATCTACACTCTTCTAGAGAGATCTAGATTCAAGATCTATCTAGCATACACTAGATCTAGATTAATCTAGATCTAGATATCTAGATCTACCTTTAGTCGCAGGCTCGGCAGAAGCATCCATGATTGCTTGACGCTTGTAGCTCATTAGAACAGAACTAAGACGTACGAGTCCTTGATTTCATAGATCTAGATCTAGCTACCGATAAGGCAGATGACATCTCAGATAGGTGAGGCAGGGGATCATTTGCGGTGCAAACTAATTTAACTTGAAATCTCCAAGTGTAGGCCTATATTATTGAACTTGAACGAGAAAGCTGAAAGCAGTACTTCACATTTCATATTTCATTCTTGTCCTCTTCATCAATTTCAAATCTTGTCCTGCCAGATAGATCTACCTCATCACCCTAACACCTATTTCACTCAGGGAGAAATTTACGTTTGCCTTCCGGAGCAGCCTTTTTTTTTATGAGGGGACAAGATATCAGACCACTCAAAAGACCTGGATCTTTGACAAAATCAAAATGAAAAGAAAAACCTAGCTCGTAAAAGAAATAGGTTTGTACGTCTGTGGTCATTTTGAAAGTTTGCACACCACAAAACTCTGACCATTATGATCATCAACAACAAATGCGCATTTTTTTTCAAAATGTTATGCCAAAAACAACAACAAAACCAGAAACAGGGAAGTGAGAAGCAAATAAACGGCAAGAGCGAAAACCCACAAAAATATTTTATCTGATTCTCTGCACAAAGCACACTGTAAAATGCCTCTGTTTCTTTATAGGGCCTAGGCCCTATAAAAAATAGGCCAATCCAAGGGAGTTCAGTAAAAAGTATGTAGGCGAAGGGTAGGCTACAGGTCCAGGCTTTTAGCCTAGGCCTACGCAACACGTACGTTCCCTGGCATACCTGTACGAGTGTACCAAATAGGCTAAAAAAGCGCCAACGGTAACGGCAATGCCAAAATGGCCCTCATTATTCTACTGAAAACACTCTATGGCCTATTACTATTAGTATTAGATCTACTATTACAGTACAGGCTAGCTGAAGTAGAGTAGATCTATCACTCTATGAGAGTTGAAAAATAGCCTAGCACACGCGCGTGCGCCCGCACGCGCACACACACACGCACACACACACACACACACACACACACACACA